CAGAAACATATGGCAAAAAATTGCCAGACACCATCAAAGAAGCAAAAGATCTTTGAGTTTATGTACAAAATTACATTTTGCATAGTGCTAAGCAAACTCTAGAAGTAATTTCTGTTTTAAGAAACACAATTGGTTATTTTATATTAAATCTTCCGTACAACATGCAACCACTATAATCAAATAAAAATGACATTTTATTTGTAAAACTTGTTTGGCCAATTTTTGAAACGATTTGAATTTTGAATATAATTTCCGCGAAATATTTATTCACGGAATAGCGAGAACGATTGGTAGAATTAAATCATCTATTTGAAAAACATAATGAGAATATTCTGTCATGGAGTGCACCATGAAACCTTAGCTTTGGCGAAACTGAATCGCAAAAAATACCCGTTGATTTGCGAGACATCATAGATATCTTTGACACGTTTAGTTTTCTAATGTTGTTTGTTTTATGCAGTTTTTGTTTGAATAAATTGATGTTTATTTCTTGACGCATGTACCTATCTAAAGCAGATGACAAAAAATCGGGTATTTCCGAACCAGTTTGTGACAACCCAGACAAGATCTAGACACTTGGAACTGAGTATAAAAGTTCATTTTTATTGATTAGTGGCAGTCGAATTCCTTCTGTATGCGGAAAGACATATCAAATTCAAAATTAAGAGAGATTGTAGTTTTCTTGTTTAGTTATAATATTAATAAATAAAAATGGGACTGAATGTGGACTCTGAGAACAAATTGGATGCAGCTTTTTCGGAGATTGGTGAATTCGGTCTTTTTCAAATTCTTGCAATTTCATTGATTTGCATCCCCAACATCATTTCCGCATCATATGTCATTAATTTTATATTCGCAATACAGCCACTAAATCACAGGTGCGAATGTTAAATTTAAATGGATTCTTTTGTGCAGAAGATCGTGTCAACAGCTATAATTCTAATCAATTTTCAGATGCAAAGTGCCGGAATGCGATTTTGGCGACAACAATCGTGAGATAAGTTATAATCAGACATGGCTTGAGTATGCGATTCCAAAAACTCAAAATGGATACGAAAACTGTGTTCGATATGAATCGATTCAGTCGTCAACGGCCAATACATGTGATGTCAATAGCTTCAATACATCAAAACAAATCGAGTGCACCGAGTTTATTTACGCAACGGACGAACTAAATATTCAAACCGAGGTTAGCGATTGTTTTTTTTTTTTCTCAATAAAAAAGTCTTGGCATTTAAAAAAAAGTCTCGGTCTTAGTTCAACATTCACTGCGATGATAGCTACAAACTTCCTTTGATCGGTTCCATAAACAATATAGGAAGGATTATTTTTCTACCAATAACCGGCATCCTCGAAGACAAGTATCTTAATGAACTCATTTTACATCGTTTCAAGAATATATTGAAATGATATTTTCTTATATTTCAGATTCGGTAGACTTCGAATAGTTTTGATAAGCATGTTTCTTTGTAGTTTGCTTGGCTTTATCAAGTCATTTTCATTTAACTATGAAATGTACATTGTTGTAAGTGTGAAAAATTTTTAAGCCTTTCAATAATTTGTTTCACGTTGATCTGCCGGTCCAATCATGCCATTTTTTCTTTATATATTTTTGACATTTCTTTGTTCAGCTCGAATTTTTTGAGGCATCCGCAAACACCTGTGTATTTAGCGGAATTTATTTGCTTGCTATTGAATGGGTCAGCTCAAAATACAGAGCTATTTGTTCAACTTTAGTCATTCTTTCATTTCCAATTGGTAAAATAATG